TTATGAGTACTGATATATTTTTGTTGTACGACAATTGCGTTACGCAATTACGCAATTAACGGAGCCTATTTTATACTTGGTTGTTAAACACTTTTAATTTTCTGCGAGACATTTAGCATTGAACGAATTAAAGAGTACCTCAGAATAACAGAACGTTGATTTGATAAATTGGTTGCAGTGTAATGACATATTAATCTGTAGCGAGATACATCGAATTAAGTTTTAACGCAGAATTTACATATGTCTTCTATGTATCTTCTAAATCAAAAAAATATATGAAATATATTAGATTGATTTGTAAAAGTTTAATTTTTACAGATTATACAATAAGATAATTTTCTAACAAGGAACGTGACGTTAAAAAAACAAAAATAGCAAGTTTCTAATTACAATTATATTAGTGATATTCTATTTAAATATTTAAATTATTAGTTAGTTGGATATTACTTAAAACATCGGTAAAGGAATCTTTTATAAATAATGCAAATAAATGATGCACGCTGGAATATAATATGTAACTACATTAGAACTAGGCATAACTGTATTACAATCAAAGCAAGATAGAAGTTTACTTCGATCCGATTACCTCAGGCTCTACGATAATAACCTAATAGAAATTTTCATGTGATCGCCATAGTTTGCCAAAGTAACTTGTAGAACGTGCAGTAACTAGACCATGAACAGTCTATCATAACTAGGTTGCATATACGTAAAACAAAAATGATATATCAGTAGTCAATAACTCAATATCAAAATCAATCTAATATCTTAAAGTCAAAAATGATATCGATACCCATATAGGTAATTTCTTAAAAACTCATATTGTATCATTAATGATATGTAATTCATGTAAAACTACGAATGTTTTGATTATAATTAGATAATGATCTAAAATAATCAGTCTTAATTAATATAAAAGGAAGATAAGCTATTCAATTAAAATGTGTACCGGGTCTTTTAAATCTTTCTAATCATCGCTTTTATCTGATATTATAGTGATATAGAAACAGATAAAATGATTAACGCGATTTTCTCTGGTGTAAAGATTCTACTACAAGTATTAATTTACTACCTTATCGACCGTTACATAACCGGTTCACGCACTATACGCACAACTTTCATGCGCTTTTAGAACCCCATGTTTATTGGCTATTTCGAAGAACGTTCGTTTTTCTTTATGGTACCTTTCTATCGCGAGTTTCCTGAACGCGTTTGCATTGGTGCAACTGATGAACTTTAGCGATGATTCGCCTTCGGGCGAATGCGAACACAATGCACAGGAACGAAGTTTTGCAATGACAGAAAGCGGGCCATCACGATGGCACGATTTTGTTACTTCGGGTGGCAAACAAACGGCGATTGTTACGATTTATTCTCCTTTCGTGGTCGCATGCTGCGTAACAAGATCGAAGATAAACATGTTTTAATCGATCCTGTATCGATAATCGATTCCCTGAAAACGTGTATCTCTTTTTTATTTGCCTTTTGCTACTAGATAGTGAGTATAAAAAATGTCCTACTTTATTGAAAATTGCTAGAATCTAATCTAGAAATAATTGAGATTAATGATATAATCCTTGAAGAGGAATGTACCTGTACTTTCATTTGTGTTTTTTGTATTAAATATTATATTGAAAATTATTTACCAAGTTACAAAGTCCTTGTATTGTTATTTGTCCATGTATTTATAGTTGTTCTCAACAATTGAGTTCCTAAATATGATAATTATATCAAATATAGGTTTTGATTTATATACTTCATATTGAGAGTTATATTCTAAAGGTACCAGAGTATTGCCTTACAGCTTGTTCTTTAAAATAAAATTTCAAAATCCTTAGGTATCGTTCAAAGATATGAAATATCCTGAGGTGTATAGTTCAACTGCATCGGAAATTCCAGTGTGCTGCAAGTAATAGTTCGATCGTTTTTGAAACGTGTAATTTTATTGCGAGTATAATTTATGAATACTTCACCCCACAGATCATTGTAAAATACAGTCGAAGGAACGTTTAAATCGTAATTACTCCTTACTGAGCAGAAATTAAATTATTGTGTTCCAACTTGCAGACTATTGAAAAAATATACGCTATGATAATTTCATGTAATATACATATTATATTACTTATACAAAATACACGTATAATGCGTGCTTCATTAGAAAATTTTGTTCATTTAAAATATATTCATGTTTTAGTTAAGTAGACTGCAACTTTTAGTTACATGTAACAAACAAATTCAAAGATGTTTCCGGATCGTATTTCGCTAGAGTCGCGAATTTACCGAGAGAATAATCCGTTAAAATACGCGGCGGTAGAAACTGCCGGAGACATCAATCTCCCGGAGCATAGCAATGTCCGAACCTTTTTTCCCTCCCTTGTTCTTTCACTCGATTTCCCTTCCTCTCGGCACTTTTCATTCTAAATGCACCTGTCTCCGTTCCATTTTGTCGGACAACAGTCGATGAGTCATTCCTCTTATTGATTTCCCGTATCGTTTCTCTGAGGAATCGTTCTCAGGGGTAATGCGGTAAAAATTATTGATAGTCACGAGACAGAGAACCAAAAATAAGGAAGTAACAGAGTTCGAACAACTCCATGGAATTTGTTTCGTGTAATGTCACACGGCTCCGCTCGATCGAAGCTCCATCATGCGGAATACTTAATGAACTGAATTGAAAATGATCCTTTACCATTGGTATATCTTTCTTAACTTCAATCATGTCATAATCCTCGATTGTGATTTTCTAGAAAGATGTTAATTGCTTTGATTCGCCGACTGCTTCTGGTTATTTCTGCAGTGATTCAATTTTTTCAAACAGTATCTCCCATGAATTATGAAGTAGTTGTCGAGTGGTTTCCACGTTCCATTAAGTTAACGACCAACCAGCTCTTGTTGTTTCGCAGGGTGTATTGCCGATAAAAGTAATTGTCGTCCTCGTCGGGAGTCTCGTTTCCATGATTTCTTTGTTACCTATTCGAAACTGATAGGTCGCGGTCGATTGTTGACGATTCGAACGAATGGTCGGAGGTTTTAAATTGAAGTATTGACTCAGAGAAGTTATTGGATCGACACTAAAATGCGGGAATTTGCGATATGAACGAACGTAGCGACGAGTCGATGGGAAATTGAGTAGCTTGGTTGTTGAATATTATTTTATTTTATTATTTTAAAAGGAAAGTAAAACTCTATTTCAATATAGGATTATTGATTAAAGAGTTTATTATATATCCATAAATTAAATTAAAACGTGAAAGGAGGTTAATACGTTTCTAGATTTAATATTTTTTAATTAAATCACTATTTTTTAAATAAATACTTACTGATAATTAAATATATTACAAATTACAGAGCATTTCTTTACAGATTATTTTGTGCTTAAAAAATAAGTAAATGAATATCATCTTTTTCAAATATTTTTCAAGTTAATTTATCAAAACTATAAAAATTACCGTTTTTGAGTTCAAGGTGTTCATGGATTGCTATAGTTTCGACGCAATTCTCAATCTTAATAGCAGCAAATTAATCCCGCGATGCTTGGTTCATCAGAATAGACTGAAATTAATCAACAACACAATGAAGCACGCCGTGGCAAATAGTGCTCGTGCATTCTATGAATGTCTCGAATGCTCTTGGAACCCTTGAGAATGTTCACTGTAGGCGCAATAACCAACGAAGAAATCTAGCTTTTATTGATTGCTCTGACATTTAGATAACTTACTAAAAGGCTACCTTGAGTTTCACGTAGGTAGTTAATTGTCTACGAATAAATTTCACCGTATACATTGCATTACGAAGTAAGATGGTCCTTAGAACTTCTTCAGTGTCTACAAATAAGGATTAAACTTGCTAATTTTGTAGTATTTATTCATGTAAAAGCAGCATAAGGTTCTTTTCATGTCATTTTCTAATTTAACGACTAAATTTGCAAGAACATAAAGTCTTGAATAAGTCAATGTTTAAAAGATTAATACAATGTAATATTTTATGATTTACATATAATATTTGAAGGAATTAATACATTATTTTTTATTCTTTTATTTAAGTTATTTACTTTCTCTTTTTTGCAGTTGTACATCAATGAAGATGATTAAATTTATATTTAAAAGTTTATCTATCTCAAATATAAATGCACGATAATAATTTATTAACTTTTAATAATTTAAAAATATTCTATATTTGAGATTTCATCTTTAATTAAAAATAGCGGCCTTCGCCTGCTTTAAAGATCTGTTTCTCCACGAAAGATCTACAGATTAAATTATCTGTCATAAAATATTTAAATGCAATTCTCGCCTGAGCTATAGAAGAAAATTTTCCTAATTTACGCAAATGAATACATTGTACGAATGTATGGAAATTTATTTCCCTGAAAATGTTTTTGTTTCAATCATTACCTCATTACATTGCTATTTGTTTCCCAACAATTCACTTTACCTATACATTTCCAAGCGCTATTGAAGGATATAAAACGAAATTATTTTCACCAACTTTTGCAATTATGGATAATTTGCATAGTCGTAATGTTACAAAATATTTTGCAGACACGCTATATTTCACATATGGTATTCTTATTTCTTCATCACTAATTAGCATAACTTTCTAATTTCTTATAATATAACTACAGAATTTTATTTTATTTTTTCTTTAGATATTCCTACTTTAGAAATTTCGCAAAAGCGACATAAATTCTGAGTATAGGAAGTTCAACAAGCAAGTTTTTATAATTATGAGTCAAGTTAACAAATGTTGATGACTAATCGACAAGTGACCTTCGTTTCACGTGTAACTTGCTTCTTGCGTGCACGAGCTATGCGTGTAAACTAGGCTCACAGTGATTTCGAAAATCTTATGAAAGAAGATTCTAATATCAGTTGCATCTAATTTCGCAAGTAGTAAATAACATTACTCGAAAATATATCTCTACTATTTAACTGTATTGTAATTATTATTGGAAAATTTTATTAGACTTAATTTTAACTTAGTTTTATTATGTAATACAGATAAAATGGCGGAGGATGGTGCAGGAGGGTCAGGAAATAGCAGCAGCGGGGAGGCAAGTCGGTTACAACTGCTGCAAGAAATGCAGCAGCAAAATTTTGATAGCATTCGATTTGCATCATACCGTACTGCGTGCAAATTGAGATTCATCCAAAAAAAAGTTCATCGTGAGTATGAAAAATGTAATATAGTAACAACAGAAAATAGCTTCACGAGATTTTGTATAAATTATCTTAGATCCAAATTCTAAATTAAATATCTTTTAAAAATATGGTATGTTCTATCATAGCTGTAGGAAATATTGACCAGATTGAATTACTGTTGGAAAGTTGGAATTATTGAGTTCAAACGATAGTAAGGAATCTCTCTTCAAATATAATTTATTTAACACTAGAAATCCTTTAGTATTACTGATCCCTATTCTGGGAAGATTTAAGTCCCATGGGGTACTTGATCCTAGAGAGCACTTAGCTCCATGGGCCATTTGATGCCAAGAAGTGTTTAGTACCGTGCTCTATTTGTCACTATGAAGCAAGCGACTTTAGGATAGATTGTGAAGTCTTAGCGTCTCCAAGTGATCTGAAGTTTAAAAACCTCTCGAGATTCTGCGAATCTTTACCCTGGAGCCTTCAGAGACTCTTAGAGTATGGGCCATCCAGGGACTATGGACCCCTCCACCTTTGAAATCCTGGAGTAAACGACTTCCAGATGTCAAGTGGTACATGAAGCTGAGCCCCTAGTGTCAAATGGTTCATAATACGAAGGATTTCATGGTGTCAAGTGGTCCAAAGAACCAAGGACTTTCTGGTACCAAATGTGGTCATGTATATACTCCTATAGTCGAAATAATCCGTAATGTATATTGTAGACTACTACTGTAATGCAATCTGTACTTATTTTTGCGAATATGTTTTTAATATGATACTTGTGAGGTAGAATGATGTACGGAGTGTTTTGTATTATATTCCGTATATCTGTTTGCTTGTATATCGATGTAAATTGTATTAAGAAACTCTGCGTGGTACCGAATATTTTCAATATTTACGTTCTGTTACGTCATAAATATGCTTGAATGCTTTACATTTCTTTTGCACATTCAAATGTCAGATTCTTTCACGCCTTGTGCTATGACTGATTCGAAATCATTGGTAATATTTATCAATTTATCCAAACATTTTTCATATATTAGACATTTTCCATTGTGTACAGTACACAACGTGGACATATGGAACGTAATCGAAGCATTTCGGGAAAATGGTTTAAACACATTGGAACCATCGAGTACGTTGGGAGTTTCGAGGCTGGAAACTTTACTGTCTTCCTTATTTCATGCCCTTAATAAACGAGTGCCTGTTTCGCAACAAGCCAAAGTCGATGCTACAACCGCTCTGTTGATGAACTGGTTACTTGCAGCCTATACTACAGGGTACACATAGATACTGAATTTTAAATAAATTATAGCCAAATTGTAGTTGTTTAGAAAACTAAAAAAAAAACAACATTTTTCATAGGGAAAACAATAAAATATCCGTTTTCTCGGTGAAAGTAGCGCTGGCTACGTTATGTGCTGGAAAACTCATGGACAAATTTCGATGTAAGTTATTTTTCGGCCTTTACTATTTTTTATTTAGCAAACTAGTTGTAAATACAAATAATTTAATTAATTTAAACTACTTGTCGAGCAGATATATATTCGCAAATATCGGATAGCAATGGTCACATGATACACTGGAGATTCTCTGAGTATTTAAAGGAAGTTCTAGCGTTAACGGCTGCGGTTTATGAATCGCCATCATTTGGATACTCTGAGGGTCTCGCCAATTCAATATTTCCTCAAGTAAGTTCGTTAAAATGAACTTTTGTCCATATGCTCGGTAATTGGAAAATTTCTTTGAACATAATGCAACTCGGAAATGAGTATCGTTGGGTGTCACACCGTGTTTCAGAATTCAAAAGTCACGGTTAACGATTTTTTGGATACGCTTATGTCTGATCCAGGACCACACTGTTTAATATGGCTTCCATTATATCATAGAATGGCTGCTGTTGAAACAGGTAATTTTCCAAATTTTAAATTACTGCTGAATTAAAGAATTCCATAACGTAATAAAATTATATAATTAGTGGATTTTGTGTTTCAAAACGCAATCAAATATTAACATCGAGACTATAGTCTATGAAAATCATTCCAAGAAGAAATATCGTTTTTAGGTGATAATTTTGAGTGAATAAAAATTTGATTTAGTAAACACTTGAAAAAATAATTATTAAAATAATTTATGTCAAATTAGATTCATTTTTAATTAAAAATGAATGTAAAATAATGTATATAATAATGTAGAATGCTTCCATAGAGACAACCTTGAGTTCTTTCACTTTCATGAACATCTCTTGGAATCAAGTTTATCTGCCTGATGATCATGTGTTTTAAGTAATCCTAGACGAATTATCATATTCCATCTTCCCGTGGAGAATATTTCAACTACGAATACAAATTTAAAAAAAAAGAAATATATATATATTTCTTTCCTTTTCCTGAACAAATTTCTTCTTGAAAATATTTTATATTATATAAGATTGAAAGACTTTCACTGGATATTGTTTAATTTTTATATAAAGGAATATAATGGTTTAATTATTTTAAACGATTTACTATCGAAGATGTAAACTGTAACTGAATTATTCTATCATGTGCGATCTTTCAGTGGCCCATCCTGTCATGTGTGACGCGTGTCATAAAGAGAACTTCACCGGCTTCCGATACAGATGTCAGAAATGCCACTCATACCAGCTCTGCCAAGACTGTTTTTGGCGTGGTAAAGTTTCTGGGACACATAATAATGATCACGAAACGAGGGAGTACAGTAGTTTTGTACGTGTTGAACAGAACTTCCAAAGTTTCAAACTTTTCCATGAATAAATAGTAATGTGTATTTTTTACATGACACTAATTTCCTCTGTTTGTTCTATAGAAATCGCCAAGTAAACAAATTGGACATTCCTTACGGAAAAGCTTTAGATGCGTACCTGAGAAGGGAAAGAATAGTTTGCCAAGATTTCCTGATCAACCCGAGAAGACGTTAGATTTGTCACACATAGTGTGAGTGGCTATCATACTCGATATGTATAACCGTCAACGTGAACGCGATTCTTCAATCCAAAATAAATTCCCTGCATTGCAGCCCACCATCACCTTTACCATCTCACAACGGTTTTCCAGATCCAGGTTTTATGGCTCCTTTTGATTCTGGATCGCTGGATAGCCGTTCTACTTTAAGGAGGTAAGCGTAAAACAAATCGAAATTGCACAGCTTATATATACTAAATGTGCACGTAACGAGTCACTATTTTATTTATTTTTTTTTTTTTATTCATACATTATACAGTATGGATAGTTCAAGACTGGACGATGAACATAAATTAATAGCACGATACGCACAAAGGTTGGCTCAGGAAGCTAGGACTATGGTAAGATATCTTATTTATTCTAGAATACTAACATTTAATATTCATTGTTTATTTTTCTCTACGACTGTTTGGGTATATATTCAATATTTTGTTTTAATGCTATAACAATTATATAATTTCATATTGCTTACATATAAAACTATAAGTATGATTACTAATAAATTTAAAATTATTCGAAAAATTAGTTTTTAAGTTATTCTAACAAATATCAAAATCTCTTACGTAAAATTTGTGAGAATATCAGAAATAATGTAGTTTAATGTAGCTTAATGTAATTTAATAATAAATGCATGAAACTTTATGCGAAATCCTTGGTCGACAATACATTAAGGCAATAAATGTAATTAAATATTCAGCTGAATCGTGATATTGTGTGACTAATTTTAATTTCGTAACTACACAGCCTCGTGCCACATCCAGAATGTCGCAAGCTGACCAAGCAGTAAGTACGCGATATTTTAATTGTCACTCATAATATTTTCAAATAAAATTCATTCCTTTGACAAATAATTTGAAAGCACGATTTTTATGTTACAGGGTAGGGCACCATCTGACGCCAATTTGTCATCATTAGATGCCTCAAGAGCACAACGCGAACTTATATCGCAGTTAGAAGCAAAAAACAAGGAAATAATGCGCGAGATTGCAAGGTTAAGGTATACCTGTGTCGTTTATTTCCTTTATATCAAGCCTAAACCTCGAGATCATCCTGTCGAACCATCCTAGGATCATGCATGTTAAAAATACATTCTGTTTCGCTTCTGTCACTTTGGTTGCATAGAATGTATATATTAGTGCTGAAGGCATCACAACAATAAATACTAACAAATACAATTTTCCCTTCCTGTATGCAATTACATTCATATTTCGTTTATATAACTTCACCAATAACTTAGAATTGGAAAGTGTTAAATCTAAAATAATAAACTAACATCGGTAATCTCCTGCTTGTGACTGACATCTTTTTGCACTAGTTTCTTAAGAATTTCAGATCATTTGAAACGTTTCTTCCTGTGTTTTATTTTAGTTTTTCTTAGTTTTCGATATGTATCCATTATTCGTAAATTTAGAGTAATTAAATAAATCTATTTTGTATAAAGATTATATAATAAAATTAATATTAAATTATTTTAGTTCAATATCAATTTAATTTTTGAAACTAATAGACTCACTAGATTCACACACACACCACATTTATAAGATGTTCTTGCTTCAGCTTGTAGCTAGTAAAATGGAATATTTGAAAAACTTAAAAGGATATTCCAGTTTTTGTTTTCATACTAATATTTATCGTATTAACATTGTATTTAACTACAGGAGACAACAAGAGATAGAAGCAGCTGGTTTAGAAAATCCGGCATTGATGTCAGAACTAAGAGCTTTGAGACAAAGAAAAGATGAATTAGAAACTCACTTAGCAACATTACAAGATTCTAGAAGACAATTAATGGTCCAGCTAGAAGGTTTAATGAAAATGTTAAAGGTATTATTTTAAGAAAAAATGGCTAATTTCTGTTTGTTTTAATTTCAATTCATGATCTAATAGTTAGATATTTTTATTATCATAGAATCATCAGGCATCTCCAAGATCAACGCCCAATAGTTCGCCGCGAAGTACAAAATCACCACCTTTACCGCCCGGTGCAGTACCAAGTAGTAGATCAGCTCCACCAACACCAGGTGGTCCACTTTCTACAACACCACAACAACAACAACAGCAACAGTCGCAAAGTCAACAACAAATGTCTCAAAGCTATCAGAGTCCTGTTCCACCGACATCAGTGGCGAGTGTAACCAATAATACCATGCTGGGAACGATACAAAATCCTATTCCAGATAACTTATCATGTGTTGGAGGTGACGTAAGGTAGGCGGGCATATGAAAAATCTCTGTTAAAAATCAATAAAAAAATAGTCAAAGATGAAAAGACATGAAGCAGCAAACGAAAAATGAAAATTACAATCTTTGTATAAAACGCTGTTTTATTACATTGTTAAATGATTTATTAATCTTGAATTTAATTAAAAATTATATTTGAAGAAATATTCAGAAATATATTGACAAAATTTAAATACGTATAATATTTGTAAAAACAAGAAAACATTCGTTTCCTGTTTTTATTAATATTTTCTACTATCATTTCGTGTTGATATATTTGTGAGATTTTTATGTAAGAATTATTTGTACAAAGATTTTTAACGTATTTAGATATTAAAAGAAATTACTTTTATACAAAGTAACAAAATTTTATATATTATCAACATTTACTGTGCACTCCACGCCATATTGAAAACAGTCATTATTACTTAATTTTGTTAAGTAATAAGAAATTATGTTTAAGCTATATGAAGAAATCAGTCATATTTTACAAGTATATTTATAAATTTAAAAAATAACTGTTGGTTACATTTATTTTTATAATATATACATTTATTTAAAATTGATTTCTTCTAAATACACAGTGCTAGTTATAATAAAATTGTAGCTGCACCCTATAAAAAGAATTCGCACAGTAATTCTATCTTTAATTGTTGCATGTGAATATTAATGAGAATATATTTTTTATCAACTAGTAACAAGAATATGATTGGTACTAGTTGAGTAATTGATGATTTTTATATTTTAAAACATTCCTACATTGATCATATTGCGAATTCTGATTGGAGTTTTTGTTGAAAAAGTTATTATATTTATAAGTCGCTGCTTTTTGCTATTTTGTGACGCTTTTAAGCTCGATTGATTTTTTACGGTTTTATGTTATTGATTATATCTTAATTTTCCTCTATTGCATTTAATTTGTGAAATATTGCACGCATGTGTATTATATAGAAAGATACAACTGACATTAATGTACCTTAAAGAGCATGTTGAAATGTTTTATTACTTTACTATATTAGAAAAACTTTGTTATACTTTCCTTTATATAGAATTGTACAATTATTACCTATATTATTTTTTTTAATAAATTAAAGTAGTTTATATGTATTAAGTACGTCCTATTCTTAGTTGCATATATTCTTTCACCTATCTTTTAAAATAATGTTATGAAATTTACAAAATATATGTACTTAATTATATTTAATATATATATATATATATTTCGAATAATATTTAACATTTCATCAAAGTATCAACTATATATTTCGAAAATTTTAACAGAATATTATAGTATAAATATTATAAATTAGGTATAAATATTTGGAATTTGAAAAACTAATGTGTAAAGATTAAAATTACTAAACACGAGACCAATAATATACTATAAAAAAATTTCAATAAACAAAATTATATTATACAACAAAAATTTTGTTCATGAAATTTTTGTAACTGCTTTATTTTAGTATTGCATGTATATGCTAGCATAATATTAATTTGAAATATGCAAATATTTCGATATTTGATCATTTGATTTCAATGTAATGACACGTGGAAATTTTCAATCCTAGATGCTTGTACAGTAAGCATGGCATGTCACAATCTTGACTTAGTTTTTATTTGGAAGTCGCTTTATGCAAAGAAAATAGAGATTTTCGATGTCAGGTCTGCGTTCAGGACAAACAGCTTGCCAGGAAGTGGTTCCAGCAGTGCGAATAATAGCTTGGGCCGATCCTTACGAAATGACTTATTGGTAGCTGCTGACAGTGTTACTAATGCCATGTCAACACTCGTGCGGGAATTGAATTCGGGTATGTTGTATTATAAATTTTAACATACTTTGCATCAGAAATGAATGCAAAATACTTTGGTAGTTCAAAGTGGCACAAAAACTTGTATTTAGCTATCATTTTTATCATAGGCCTTCAATAATTGTATATTTGGATTAGGTGTAAGGTATAGAAATCATTATCCCTTAAAATTAAAAAGTTATAGCCAATTTAAAAAGGTAACAATTAATATCTGATAAGTTTAAAATTAATGCATTGTTACCTAAATTCATTAATAGAAGGGAATTTGTAAGTAGCTTAAATAAGTGAAATATTAAAAAATAATTACTAATGTGTATATTTCTGTTTCATTTGTAATATTTTGAGTAATTAATTGATTATAGAAAAAAATTAAGGCAATATATAATGACATATTTTAAGTAAATGTTTTTCATACATATTATACATATTTTCATACTGTTGTTCATATTAGTGTAAACAGGCATGTTTGGCAGTATTTTTCTTCTATCACATCATTAGATTTTATAGCATGTAATAATGCATTTCCCTGCCCATTTTTAGTAAAAAAGTTTTATAAACTTATAATGGAACTAAAGCGCAAATACAAGGTAAATTTCACTATTCATACATAATCATGTATACATATTAACAAAATATAAATCAAACTATACTCAATTTTTTTCTATTCTTTAGAACACAATTTTGACATGTATCTATACATAAACAAAAAAAAAATAATTACATATTCATATTTAATCCTTATAAGAGCAAAAAAATAATATATGATTTTTTTTATATATTAAATATGAATATTATATTGTTAAAATAGTTTTAAAAGACTATTTTATGTCAATTGGCAAATTTACAAGACAGATAGAACATTTTATTTTATTTATATTTAAATATATTACTGATAATTTTTTGTTTGTTTCAAAAATTCAATATATATATTATATTACTTTTTTATACTATTTTATGCAAGTACTAATATAATATATATATGGTATAATTTTATATATTACCCAGAGTAAACAACATTTACAAATGTAAATATTTAGTTTCTGCCTCTCTTTACACAATTTGCCTGTTGTAATTCTTATTTTCTCTTACTTAGTATAGACTTAGCAAACTTTAGTCTAGAAATAGCACAGACTACACTACACGTGAAACAGCAAATGCTCATTTTAAGATAATTTATAATTCTATTAATGATTTAGAAATTATCTGAACAGAAATTGCAATTAAATGAAGACTATACAATTTTTTTCCTACATTTGGTACAAAAAAAAACTTTTTAATTTTCCATTGACATTTTGAAATTTATTCTAAGTTTTTTAATCTTAAATACTGTAAGATCTGTAAAGTAAAGAATATATTTACGAAATATAACTATTACCAATAATTAACATTAAAATTAAAATTTGTAAATTTCTATGAAATATTCCATTTGTATTCATATATCGGCGAAAAAATAGATATTCCCATATACAAATGACACTTTAGACGTGTTGTGGAATGTGTGTGATGCACCCCCTGTGAATGTATCCTGGTGCCTTGCAGACTCAGACCAGGAGGATCATTCTCACAACTCTGGCCGAATTAACATCAGAAAGCCGCTAGGTAAGAGTTTGTTAAAATCTCGATCATTCTTGTACTTTTATACATTTTCACAAGCATTTGCAAAACATTATATCACATGCTTCTTTTTGCATAAATATAGTTACTATATTAAGTAAACATTTTTGGCAAACGTATTTGTTATTTCAGAAAGTAAAACATTAATACTATAATTACAAACATCTGGTATACTTTTGTACTAATTAAAAACAATATTTTCTTTAGAGGTAATTGATTGGCTGTTGCTCCATTCTCACTCAGTTATATATTTGTAATATATATCCCCATTTATAAATTCATAGATAGACATTTAATTTCATATCAATTATAGTAAATAGTATTGATATTACAAACATAGATAAATATTTTATTTTAGTAGATATGCAACATTGATTTTATATGAATTAGCATTCTTTTTTTATGCAAAAGTCAAAGGATAAAATGTTAAAATTAATTTGCGTGTAACAAATGCATTTATAGTTTTTGAATATCTGAAACTATATAATTTGTAAATTATTTCCTTATCTTCAGATTTCGAGGCCGGCGAGGATGGCGATGATAGCAGCGGTGGTGGAAATTCGTGGCGAGAGGAATTACAACGACGTTATTTGCAGGAAAATGATTTTTTGGCTGAACTGCGTGCACGTAATGTTAACATTTCACAAACACCATCTGCTACACCATCCAGTGAACAAGAACAAGAAAGAGGTGAAAGGGAAGAAGCAGATGGAGAAAAGGAGGATGAAAATGAATCCAACTGGATAGAACCAGCAAAAAAATGGGTCAATCGATAAGTTTGTAACATGACATTTACATGTATTCTAACGGCTTAGAAACTGCTACCAAATGAAACGCAAATAAGTTATTGTAGCTCCACAGGTTACTTATGATGGGCATATATCTGGGTGTTAGTGTGAAATATAATTAGTATGACATTAGATTTCGGACAGTATTTAAAAATCTTACATTCTCGAACCAGTACTTTTAATCAAAAGCATTGTCAGTTTAGCAAATGGAGATCATAAGATATCTCAATGCAAATTTTAACAAACACATAAAATTGAATAATATATACTTATAGAAGAAAAAAGCAATCTTCTTTGGTATTTGTTATTTCTCTTTAACATATTTCATGAAATACAGAATTATATTGTTTTCTTTCTGTTATTGAAATATCATTTCTGTTAGCTTTATATATTTTAAATATTTATATTAATATTTATAATTTTTTGAATTATGAATTTTTGTATATATATTTTGTTCAGTTTCCTTCTGTAACTGTAATTAAACACATTAAATATGATGCTGCAAAATAATTGAAGTCAAAGAACATAATTTGCAGTGTTTATGGGCCTAATGGTATAAAAGCTGATCTTTAAGTCAGGCTAAGCATAAGAAACAAACTTTTGTCGTTTATATATTTATTAATTCTGCATATGAGACATTACACTTACACAACTTTGTCAAGAAAATTTGAAAAAGCATTAACTTAAACCTGGGTGCTCAATATGAAATGACATTTAGTCTATTGTGTGTAGGTGTTAAAATGGAAGAAATTTTTGCACAGGTCTCTTTGACCAACTTTGTACAAGGAGGTAAGTAGATATAATTAAAGAACTATTTTAAAATCATAATGAAAAGATTGTTAATGAATGCTTAGTTGCAGAATCTCAAATTTTTTTGTACATTCATACGAATTAGATACAATATCCAATATAAACTTTACAAAAACTTCAAGTATGATATTTTAAATATATTTCATCATATCAGATGCTTAATTATAGCCATATGATACACATAAAAATGTCATAGGAACTTTTCTAATGCATTTTATCCTTTTGTTTTAAATAATATACACCTCGGAGCTAATGACTCATAAATAAGGTCTTCTTTTTTTATATTAATATGTGAAATATAATTATGTTTATTCTGATTAATTGTTTTATTTAAGTATATATAACTTGAAACTACTAAATCGAATTGGGTAAAGATTTCAATTTAACCTAATCTAATTTTACCTAATCCAAGTGTCAGATATCTGCGATTTCGAGTTCTCGCGTATTAAGTTTTATTTATATAAGATACTTGTACGTATTTCATAATAATTATAAATTGAATGACATTTATAATATTAGGAAATTTATTATAATCGAATTACAAGTTCCTATCATCAACATGCTTTAAATAGTTTACGGTAGAATAATCTTATTTATATACTCGGAAAAAAATTATACATTTATGATCCAATGGCTTTGAGGTATTATATTAAAGTATTACAGTGATAATGTATATAAATCTCATTGTTGATTACCTATCAAACATAAAATATCGATATGTCTAGGCAACACTTAAATGTATTGCTTAGGCATTTTGAACGTATCATTCATTCTGTTTTATTAACTTTAATATTTTCAGAAAGTATTATATTTAAATGCCTAAGTTTTACACAATAATCATAATTACGTCACATTTATGACTGTATAATAGATAAGACTAGAAAGATTGACTTTGTTTTATATGTCATATTTAAACTTTAGTTCCTAGGTTAAATACTATTTGAATAAATAACAATTAAATTGTAATTAATATAGAATGATACATTTTGTAATTTTTACGTATCGTATGGTATTCAAAATATTATATGTATATATTTATATGATTTCATAATTTTTTTTATCTATATGGACACGAAAATTGTGTAGCAACTACATAATATGAATATTAATAATAAAAAAAAAAAAAAAATGTGAAATCATGTGCAACATAAAAAACTGTGCTAACATTTCATGTTTATTTTGTGATTTCTATTTGACTTCTACACATATTTTTATTCAAAACTTGCAATTATTATATATAATAAATATGACAAAATAAATTAATATTTAAATTTTATGACAATTTTTATCAAATGTAAAAACATGTTCTCTTTATGCAATTATAAATTCATACACTTAAGTATAATTAATAGTATAAAAAATTTGAATTTTAAATTGCAATAAATACTGTTCTGAAGCAAGGAAAAATTAATAATTAAAAATTAATAAAGTTGATACTTTAATAATAGTAATATATAGTTCAAATTATCAATTAGTTCTTGTTAAAAGTGAAAAGATGAGATTCGAAACAATTGCTGTTTGAAATAAAGGTTAATCGTAAACAGGATAATGGACAATTTTGTGGATAATAAAGGTAATAAAAGTACGTTAAAACGAATAAAATATTTTTAATAAATAAATCTATCTGTAGAAAAGAAGAAAAATAATAAACATGAATTGTGTTTGTTCTATTCTACAATTACATCATTCGAAACATTATTATTTTCGAAGCGAAATATTCGAATATTAATAATAATTGGTCAACGAAATATTAATTCCTTTAGTGCAATTTCGGAACTAATTGAATTGCAGGAACTATGGATAGCCGAATGTGGTATTCAGGTAATAATTTGTTTTTAAATTTGACGTAGTTAAAGTATTATAGTAAGTTAATTTATTTAGGATGTCCCACCATTTAAAGAAAATTGTTTACTGAAAAAACTTTATTTATATTCCAATGAAATATCTTATATACCAAATTTAGAAGCTTGTTGTCACTTAACTATTTTATATCTATCAGGAAATAACATACATGAACTTGAGGTATAAACATTTCATTGTTTATTTTCCAAGTAAATATACCCTCATATTTTATATTATTTTTATATTTTACTAAATAATGTACATTTTATTTATACAGAATTTGGATACTTTAACATGGTTACAAGAGCTCAATTTGGCTAACAATAAACTAGAAAGAATAAATAAAATATCATGGAGAAAATTGGAATTATGTAACTTAAACCTAGCAGGAAATCCTTTATGTTTTATAAGGGTATGTAAAATATTTGAATGAACTATTTATATGTTAATATCTTTTTTCAATTGCAAGGACATAAAATATCTATCACAATTGCAAAAATTAAATTCATTAGTATTTGCGGATTCATTATATGGAGATTGTCCTTTGGTAACATCCTGTAACTATCGTATATATGTTATTCATTATCTTCCACATATTAAAAAATTAGATCATTACAAAGTATGTGAGAAAGAAAGACATTGGATCAACTATTTTTTCAAGTACTTATATTATCTTTTATAAGTATACTAATACTTTTAAATAGATTTCAGAACTAAGTTTCATTTTCAGGAAACAAATAACATACTACAATGTATTATTTCATAAGCAAATAAACATGCATTTGACTTTACTGAAACATAAATATAAGGAGTACAAAAAGGAAATGCGTAACTTTAAAAATCAGCTATATATAATTGAAATGAAAAAGGTATTTAATGCTTCAATATAATTTTTATATGTAGTATAATATTATTGCTATTAATTATATCCTATTTGTCATACAGAATGATCAAAATTGTTTAAAAAACAAAATATATGATGAATCACAAAATATATTGTTGCAAATGAAATTAAACAAAAAGTACCTCAAGGAAATGGGAGAAAAGCTAGTCTTGCGATCTAAAGTATAATAATATCAATGTTTTATTTTTTAAATTATTTAATGTAAATTGCTTATGGTAATTCAATGTTACTTATACATCAGATTCTACAACAACAGTTGTTAATTAATATGAATTATTGTGGAAATATAAATTTTGTGGAATACAATACTGCTTCAAAAAATACAGTTATTCAATTATGTAAACAATTTTTACAAGCATCATTATGTTCAGTCACAAAAGAGTATGTAAAATATTCAATTATATTAATGAAACTATTTAAACAATAAGACTTGATAACTTTTTATTTTATTCACAGAAGCCTAGGCATAATAGATTTAAGATTACATAAAGTGACAAAAGTAAGCAATAAAGAAATAGATCTGTTAAATACTTGCACAAATCAAAGTTTGCAATCAGATGAATGCAATATGATATTAAAAATTTTAGCTTTTCCTGGAGTGACAGATATTCAAAAGTGGCCTTTTAATTTTTTTCAATCTGACTTACTTATTGAAGTATTTATATGTATTTTGTTTTAAAAAATAAAATTTTGTTCTATCAAAAAATATTATAAATCAAATATTTTAATTAACAGCAAGAAATAACGGTAACTAATTGTTTGGCAGCAGCAGACTGTGACTGGTTGAATAAAGTATTGTTAACAAAGAAAAATAGAAATATAAGTACTTGCAATATTTGTGAAAAACGACGTGTTTGTGTACTTGTACAAACACCAATTGTCAACTCTGTTGAAAAGTAAGAACCAAAAAATATCAATTTTAATGTTTTTCATATAAAAAGTATAATACTCCTATATAGAATAGATAATGCCCATGACTTCCTACATATAAAATATACAAATTATGAAAACAACTCAAATGAGATTTGCCAGATGTTTAAATTGACAAATATGAGCATAACAAATCCTATGTTTGTAATAGAATATGAATATATATTACATGAAGTAATAAAAGTAATAAATTTTGTTGTAATTATTTGACTTCAATTATTTTTTATGATATTCAAATTTTCATTTTACCATACAAAAAATATTATAAAAAATTGTTTTACAGGAAGGTGGATATAAAAATAGAATTGTTACATACACAGTAGATGATTCCATATTTACATGTTTATCTAATTCTAATATCAAGCAATATATCAATAATGACGAAAAAATAGAGATGTACAATCTTGTAAAAATATGTGTTTGTGGACAAAACATAAATTCAGTTAATATAAATTTGGATTTGCCTAACTTGAGAGAATTTGATATTTCTTACAATCAGCTAAATGAATTTCCAAATTCATGTATTATGAAAAATGTACAAATATTAAATATAAGCTTCAATAATATAAAAGTATTACATATTAAAGAATCCTTACCAGTACTACAAGAATTAGATATATCATGGAACTCCTTAATGTATTGTTTCCAATGTATTAGTACTTTTATAACTTATGTACCTAATATGTATAAGTTGAAGATATATAATAATCCTTTCAATGATGTTACTGATCCTGAATTAGTAGAATATTTGGTACACATATATTTACCAAAACTACAATTTATTAATAATTATAAATGTGAAATTCTTAATGTACCCCAGAATTATTTTCCATGTGGATTTAATATGTGTAAACTAAACAATAAACGACGTAATAAATTTATTTATTTAAAACAAAGTATACTGAAAAATATGGAACAGCCAAAATTGCTAGAGGAGAAAAACATAGAGCAAGCAAAATACATTCATATATCTGAAGATTTTCTTGCAGCATCAAACATTTTGGAAAGAGTAAAAAATGTACATGAGCTTTGTGCTACTTATTGTTTATTGTCTATAATTCTTCCTACAAGACCTTTAAAATATCTAATCAAACTGAATCTTGGAAGTAATTTTATTTCAGTCTTGAATGATTTCACTCAAGAGAATTTCCCATCATTAAAATATCTAGATTTTACTAATAATTTAATAGCAAATTTGGAACCTATGGGAACATTTCATACATTACAAGAATTTTATTGTGGAAATAATGTAATAAAAAACATTGTACAAATAGACAATGTTAAAACTTGGCAAGCATTACATGTTATAGACTTTTGCAATAATCCAATAAGTACAGATGCAATACATAAAAAATTTATTATATTTCATTTAAGTAATATTGAAGTAAGTAAAACTTTTATTTCATTTTAAAGATATAAACGATTAAACATCATATAAATATTTATAATTGTTACAATTTTACTAGTAGTATATTTCTGGAGAATATGTAAAAAATTCAGATATTTCTGAGGCAAGATGTATTTTTGGCAATAAATTTGATAAATATGTATTAAATGCATTATATGAGACAGATCACTTAACAAATATTACACAACTGAGTCTAGTTAACTGTTCTTTATCAAAGGTATGTTATTGATTATAACATGTAGCACTCTTAATAGTATTTCTGATTTATACAATTTTGTTAGGTAGATCTTTCTGCAGAACTTCTACCATGGTTAGAAAGTTTAGATTTAAGTAAAAATCAAATAACTTATTTATGGGGTCTTCAGTCTTTTAAGTATTTACATACATTATGTTTAAGTTATAATTGTCTTGAAACATTTAATGGAAGTGATCATAAAAATAATAAGTGTACATTTCCAAAATTGTACACTTTATTTCTAGATCATAATTGCATTAAATCATTAATGAATATTACTAAACAAAAATTACCAGTCATTAAATATCTATTTTTAAATAATAATTATCTTCGGAATATTAATGGTAATATTTTATTTTATTAGAATAATCTTTTATATATTAATAAAATTACCTGTCATCAATTTTTATGAAATATTTAGGAATAAGGCACTGTTCCACATTGAAATCTCTTATACTGGATCATAATGAAATTGAATTACTAAATGTAGAAGATTTTATTGATAATAATAATCTAGAGATTTTATCTCTTGAAAATAATAAATTAAAATCTTTAGAATTTATTCAATCATTACACAAATTGAAGAGACTTTATATTGGTGATAATTGCTTAACAGTAAGTATAAATCGTAATTCAGGATAAATATTGAATTTGATAATGGTCTACATTATATTCTAGAATGAAATTGAAATACAGTATTTACCATTATTAAAAAATTTAGAAGAAGTAATATTTGAAGGAAATCCTATATATAATGAAATAAATAGGAATAAAATTATTGCTCATGATTTTGAGGTTAAAGAAGCAAATATTGAAGAAATATAATGTGAAAATAATAAAGTTCATAAATTTTAATGAATATACTTTAAAAATTACATTAATAAAAATATGTTTTTTATTATCAATTAATACAAAATAATTTTAGTAGTCTTAAGATATATAAATATAACGAAGTATAATAAAATATGATTTACGTTATTCTGATAATGAATATTTATTTATACTAATTTTATGAATGAATTTTTGATAGTGAATCATGGTTATACATACATCCGATATAATACGGTCTTCATTCTTACTTTTATATCATAACTACACACACGTAGTATAGTTTACAGCAAAAGTCAACTAGAATGTAATAAGGCACGTTAGTTTCGTATTATAACTATATCTAACCTTAGTTACGAGTCATTCAAAACAAAACCAAATGGAGCTAGAAACAATACTGCGAAAATGTGCAACAACGAATAAATGTAAACAGTAATTTAAATTAGTATTTATGTATACATTTTATAAGTGTTGTAACAATACATTTTATACGTATTTTATAATTATTTAATAGAAATTATGTTCTTGTAGCAGAAGTAAAATCGGAAGATAATGAAAAAAGGGAGGATGAATATTTTCAAAAAATATACGAACAGTGGAAGGGCGCCAAAGCTAAAGATAAAGATTTAACTTATAAAGTGATACCCAAATTTTATTTTAAGGTAATATAAAAAGTAAATATAAAATATTCACGATTAAATAAAAATTTTGTATACGTATTTATATATTTTACATAAAAATTTGTTTCATACATTTTAGCTACCGAAAGAAGACGAAATTTTACCACAAAAATTACGCGAAGAAACACGAGCTTTATTTTTACAAAGACGTTCACGACAATTGCTAGATAATAACGAACTTAAGGCATTATGGGTATTATTAGATAAACACCACAGTCCTCCTTTATCAGGGGAAGAGCAATTAATCAATTATGAAGATTTTAAGAAAGTAGGGAAATTAGCTGGTGCAAAATGTAGCCCATATTTCACAGCTGTTGTATTTGCTAAATTGCAACAAGGTGACCCTCATGGTAGAATTAGTATAATGGCATTGTTTAATTATGTTATGAGAAAGGTATGGTTGCACCAAACAAGAATTGGACTTTCTTTGTATGATGTTACTGGTCAAGGATATCTTAGAGAATCAGTGAGTGTTATTATTGTATCTTAATTAATTTAATATAAATTCTTACAACTGACATAAACAACACAAATTTTATTTATATTGTTTATCTCTTACAGGATTTAGAAAACTATATTCTAGAATTAATACCAACATTACCTCAACTTGAAGGACTTGAGAAATCATTTCATTCATTTTATGTTTGTACAGCTGTAAGAAAGTTTTTATTTTTCCTTGATCCACTTCGAACTGGCAGAGTTAGAATTCAGGATATTTTAGCATGTAGCTTCCTTGATGATCTCTTAGAATTAAGGGATGAGGATCTACCTAAAGACTTACAGGAAGCAAATTGGTTTTCAGCACCATCAGCTCTTAAAGTTTATGGGCAGTATCTCAATCTTGATAGAGATCATAATGGGATGCTCAACAAAGAAGAACTTGCTGGGTAATTTAAATGAAATAATTAAATTTGCAAAATTTGTATATGATCATTCAAATCTTACAAAATTCTTTTGAATAGATATGGTACAGGAACATTAACTGGAGTATTTTTGGAAAGAGTATTTCAAGAATGTTTAACATATGAGGGAGAAATGGATTATAAAACATATTTAGACTTTGTTTTAGCGTTAGAAAATCGACATGAACCACAGAGTTTACATTATTTATTTAGAATTCTTGATATTAATAATCGTGGTTATTTGGATACATTTTGTCTTAATTATTTTTTTCGCGTATGTATATTTATATATCACACAAGATTCTTTTGTAATATACATTTCTAATAACTGAATGTGCTTTCAGGCCATACAAGAACAAATGACAATGCATGGTCAAGAACCAGTGAGTTTTGAAGATGTTAAAGACGAAATATTTGATATGGTAAAGCCAGCAGATCCATGTAAAATTACATTGCAAGATTTATTATCCTGGTAAATAATTGTTTATCTACTTAGAAACTAAGAGTCATGACTTTTTGAAGAAAAATATTTTATCATCTATTCCTTACTTTATATTTTATAGTGGACAAGGTGATACAATGGTAAGTATCTTAATAGAATTTCATGGCTTTTGGGCATATGAAAATCGTGAAGCTATGGCAGCTGATACTGGCGACGAATCATCCCATGTTTAAAAGATAAAGATTCATAAAATATGACACATTCCTTAATGCACAGATTAGATATACATACAATTTAAAAAGAAAAAGAAATTATTTTTTTGATTCTACATTAGAAATTTTAAAAATATCTAAAAAATATCTACAAAAATATTTAAATGATATGTAATTTTTCAATAAAAATATTTTTTTACAAATTGCTATCAATTATTATTTAGTATTAGTTTCTAATATTTAATAAAGATGAATTTCATGTCATAAGATTATTTTCTTAGTTATTTAATTTTTTTAATTTAAAATATATTTTCATATTAAATCATATTTAATCTTACAAACTTTATTTCATCTACCAATAGAAATGCTCCATTTCAAACTGTCCTATGCAAACGTATTCTACCCCTCTTTGGGCGTAAGTTTAATGACGTTTATAGCTCTGCAGTTGCTCCAATCCCACAAAGGTCTTCGGTTGGTTTTCCTGTGACGCTTCTTATCATGTTTGAATTTTGTAGAAATTCTTTCATATTTTACATATCTTTTATTGCGTAAAGACAGTGCCATTATAACGACAAATATTTAGTGTGAAATTGTATTGTTTGTTTTACGATTAATATCATCCGATACGTTCGAAAGTAAGAGCTGTCATTTTTAGACATTCGCACGCGTTTGATTATTATGGCGGTTGTGTTTAAATTCAACGGTTGGAAGTGACTTGCGACGTAAAGGAGCACTTTGATATTTTTAATTATTTGTCACCATTGATTTTTATTGATTTACTATATAAAATCTGGTGAATATCGTTAATATTTTAAAAGCAATTATAAAGCGTCAGTTGGGATTAGGATAGTACCGTTTACCATACAATGGACCCTTTCACTCAGGTAAGGCCCTTTTATTCAATTGCAGTACGTAACTCCAGGTAATAAGAGTTTATGAAGTTCGAAAAAAATTGCTCATAACTACTATATTATTTTTATAAATAAACTATTATGAATATTGTTTATTTTTTATATCAATATAACTAGTTTTTGATATTTTGTTTTAATTTGTTATTTATTTACTTAAATGTATTTATTATAATTTATTATTTGGTAATTTCTTTTTTTTTGTTTAAACAATTTTTTCAGATATATTTAATTAAGTTTTATAATTTTAGTGAATATTTTATATAGGTAAAATATTATAAAATGATATTAGTATTAAAAATGAAATTAATATTATTTATATATAATTGTTAACATTAGAATATTAACATATAATAATAACAACCTTATTTAATTAAATAGCGAATGTTGGAGCGTGCTAGAGCAAGAAGAGAAAAATTAGATACTCAATTATCAAATGCAGGGCATGATATCCAAAAAAGACGTAGTCCATTGAAGGATGCTAATGCTATTTTAGCCCAGGCTACAGGTATCATTATCTAATATTTATTTTTCTAAATATGGCAACAGACTACATTTATTTATGTTAACAATAAAACAAAATATTGAGAAATAATACTTTTGTGATATTAGAAAACATTTTTAACTATCTTATTTTTTTCTAAATTTCAAGTTACTAAGAATAAAACTCCAACCAAATCTCCTGCTAAAGTATCAACAGAGAATATATCTCCAGCAAAGTCTCCACGAAAATCTGTATCTAAAAGTATTATTAATGAAAATAATGAGCACATAAATAAAGAGAATGGCAAGATTGGACTCTGCAATGTGAAGACAAAATTACAAAGGCTTGGGAGGCTGTATTCTGGTAAGCCATATTGTACAGTACACCTACACAATTTGATTCAAACTGGTTTCTTACACTACTTTACTTTAATACATATATATGTATCTTATTCGCATATACTTTGTGTATGAATAGTAAATATAATATTTTATTAGGATTCTTTTAGTTTTATTTTATATTTAATTACTATTAGTTTATCAATATATTATTATATTTTAAATAGATATATGTCAAGATTAATTTGTTGTATTGTGTAATACTTGTATATTTAAATTTACATGATTGTCTTTTTCATATTCTTAGTGAAACATCTTTTTTTTAACAGATGACAGTAGCAGAGAGTTAAGTTCCCCAATTCACAGAACAGAAGAAAAATTTCATGCAGAAGAAGAAGAAGAAGTCATTGTACAAAAAACACCCAAAAGAGGAGCTAGGCTTGATAGATTAGCAGCTCTTGCTTCAACAATTAATAATTGGGAAGATGACCTTTCACATCCAACTTTAGTAAGTAAATTAGAAATTATTGGAATATATTATTTATTAATCAACATATTTTGGATAGTAAATGGTAATTAAATAATATGAACAAATTTTAGGTAAAACCAGTAAGTAATAAAGCAGATAAAATACAAGCAAAGTTAAATCAACAAGTGAAATGTGCTTCAGAGCCACAACCAAGCACAAGTGGTTATAATAAAGGAAGTAGAAATAGTAAAGGTACTTATTCTAAAAAAGAAGAATCTTGTTCTACAAAGCAATTGAAATGGGACAAGACTATATTGGAAACACTAGTAAGTAATTTATATCAATAGCAAGTAGATTCTATTTTATTTTAAGTATAATTGGAGCCTAAAGCTTCTCAAAATTTTTCTATGAAGCAATCGTTATAAAAATAATATTTTAAAAATAATAGTTTGTCTTTCTTTTTAATCTCTTATTGCACATAATGATTATACTAAGAGTAAAGTTGGAAATGTATGTAATTATTAAATCTGTTAGATTAAAATACTATTTCCAGGAGGCTCAAGGTTTTAGTCGTACAGAAAGCGATAGTCGCCTTGTATATGATTATAAGGCTTGTTCTCAGGAAAAAGATGCGGAGTCTTCGAGTTCATCGCCTAAACATCTTCGGCAAAATCAGGAAACCATTATGACACTCTATGGACAAAAAAATTATAAAAAAGGAGAAGATTCTACAAAACATAAGTATACCAAAAATTCTAACACACCAGAAAAAACATCAAGAAATGCAACATCCAGCACAAATAGCACCCGATTAACACCTAGATATGGTTTAAATGGCTCTCCTAAAAGTCCTGCTCAATCTAGCCCAGGTTCAGTATTAAGCAAAGCTTCATTATTTGAATCCAAAAATACAGAAGCAAAGGTGAAAGATCCTACTCAAATGACACTTTCTGAGAGAATGGCACTATTTGAAAAGAATAAAGGAGAAGCGCCATTATTACCTAAAGCACCTCTTACTATGTCTATACCACCAAAAAAATTACAAGAAAAAGATAAAACTAGTTCACCAACAACACATTCAAATAGTGGAGGTATTTCTGGAATAATAAATAAATTATATAAAAATATAGATCATTATAATTAAGTAACAACAATTTAATGTGATTTCATATGTGATGATTCTGTTACAGCAAAAGAACGACCTAAAGCTGATATCCCTAATAATGCTGTTAATGTCCAACGAGAAAAGTTTGAGCAAGGCTTAAATATGCAAGAGTTAGAAAATAATATTTTACGTAACACTTATTTGGAACGACAACGCGAATTAGATATGTTACGTTCTCGTTTCAATAGAAATAAGGAAATGGCACAAGCAGCTGCTGGTTCGTATATTAGAACAAGTGAAAGTAGTGAAGGAAAACCAAATTCACCAAAAAATTCTCCAATTTGTCCAGTAAAACCAACACCTGCACCTGTAAGCAAATATTTAATTTTTATCTTGTTTCTAGATATTTTAAAAAGAGATAATGAACATGTTATGTACTATTTTTATAGGATCAAGGTGTTCCACCTCCTCCACCACTTCCACCACAGTCGCATATTTCTAACGAAAAATTAATTCCAAATGAAAATAAAAATTCACCAAATAAAAGACAAGGTATAAATTATAATTATATTTTTTGCCTTTACTTAATTTTAATTTCTTGTATTTTGAAGTTGTAGGAAGTCCAATGAAAACAACACAGCAGGTAAAAATAGCGTCTGACATTAAACGCATTCGTGTTGCTCCACCGAAACCTGGACATCTCTATCCTAATCTTTCTAAAATTGAAAATACGACAGAAACAGAAACCGATACAGAATATACCGTTAATAGCACAGAAGCAGAAACTGCTACTTTAGATGAGAAAACTGACACAGAAACAGGGACAGAGGCTGAATATTATGTTCAAGTAAGATAATTTTATGAAATATGAGTTTAATAATATAAAATTACATTTTATGTAATTTTTATAATCATTATATATTAATTTTCATATAGGATAATGAAACTGAAACCGAAAGTGAAGAAGAAAAAGAAGATATGAATAGTAGTCTTGGTAGAAGCATTTTGCGTGTTGTAAATGAACAAAGTTTTTTGAATAAGAAGGTACATTTAAATTTTTCAAACTAATACTTATTCTATATGTCATAAATTTATATACAGTAATATTTCAAAAACACAATTACAGAGATCAATTGATCCTGATCCAGATAGCACAACTTCCGATATTTCAGTATTAGATGAGATGGATGAATATTTAGATGAGTGTCTTGCCTTACAAGAAACACACACTGGAAATGCTTATGTAGAAGAAGGACCAACTCCTCCGAAATTAAACAAAGGTGGTAAAAGTCCATCAACAGCTTCAACAAGTTTTAAATATAGCGATGTGTAAGATATAAAGTTAACAATTAAATATTGATATAAATTTGATGTTTAGATTAATTGAAAGTATTAAATTATTTTATTTATTCGATTATTTTAATTTTTTAAGCTCATCGTATCGTTCACCTATAAAAAAAGTTACTTCAGCATCTCCTAAAAAAGGCGAGCCTTACATCGTAGATGGTGAAAATTGTGTACCATTAATGCATAGTATTAGCTTTTATAGACGTCAGCAATCTCAAGTAAGCTAAGTGAATGTAGTCATTTTCAAATTTAAAGTGTGAAACTAACATTAAATTAATTTTAGACGCCAAAAACACCAGTACGTATAATATCCAGAGCACAAGAATCGACTGATATTATTCCTGATACAACGCAAATTGACGTTAAGGAGGAAGCAATTTTAGTACAAGAAAAAGTGAAACGTTTATTAGATGAAGTATGCAAACAGCAAACGATTATTGGTCAAGCTAGTCAGGCACTAAATTTGTGTACTTCTACAGTAGAATTCAATGGTTCCAGAGAACAAGTTGAAGGAGAAAGATTGCTGCTCGTTGCTAGTAATTTTGTACATTATATAAGTATTTTTATTAATTAAATTTATTAATTAAATAATATAAAATATATATTTCCTATTATAGCTCATAGACGACAAGCCGCATTAAACGAAGTTCAACGATTAAAAGTCGAAGGTACTTTAAAACCTGTTAGTCCTGGATCACCAGAAGTACAAGAAAGTGGTTCTTTGACTGTTTCGGCTATTACTTTACCTCTTAAAAGAGATTACTTTCGTAATATGGGTACAAGTAAGTCAAATATTATAAAATAGGCATAAAAGCATTATTTAAATCTCATCAATAATAATTTATTTCTTGTAACAATTTCAGGCACATGCCTTCATTTTGTTTGTTTGATGCGACATTTGGAAGAAATAGTTGTTACTCCGATAGTTGTAGCAGAACCTGGTGACTCATGCCTACGATTTCCATCAACATTAAAATTAAACGATTTATATAATGATTTCAAAATTACTATTGAGATATACTCATTGCAAACACAACCTGAAATCTTGCCACATGAAATTAAGTATCATATTAATAATGGTAATGGTTGTAGTAATAGTAGCAATAATTGTAATAAAAAAGTAAGCACACATTTTAATACATATATATAAATATCTTAAGATTTATTTTACTATAAAATTATGTACAATTTATTAAGTACTGAAATATCTTTTCTAGTTAGTAAACAAAACTCCAAAAAAATTTTTGAAACAAGAAAGTCGGCTAGTAATGCCTAATGTGCAAAGTCCAGCTGGACCATCTGCTGTTAGATCTCCATCTTTTCAACTGTCTGGCTACGTTATATTCAGTTTGAAAGAAATACATCGCCAACAATTCACGCTGAATAAGGTATATATAATGAATATTCAGTATAAGAGTTTTAGCGTTTAATAGGAATTACTTGATTTTCAATTTATAGGTACCACCACAATCTCCGTTAGAAGGCCGATTACAAATGCATGTTTCGTGTGAACTGTCGGTAGCGGTAGAACATAGAGGATTTCTTACAATGTTTGAGGATGTATCTGGATTCGGTGCTTGGCATCGCAGATGGTGTTTGCTTAAAGGTTCTACTTTATCGTACTGGAAATATCCCGATGATGAGCGAAAAAAGGCTCCCATTGGGAGCTTAGATTTACAAAGTATGTTTATTGGTTTAATTAATTATATGTTATTATGATTTAGAATATATCTAATTATTGTATATTTATAGATGTTAGTACAACAAATGTAGGATTAGTTTCTCGAGATATTTGTGCCCGCCCTAATACTTTTTTACTCGAAACAACTAGAGCTGCGGAACCTGAAGATACTGAAAGTTTAATTATGGTTAGAAATGGAAATACGACAATAATTAGGTAAGTATTCCAGGCGTTACTTTATTTAATTAATTCAAAATAATAAAATCAATTGATTTTTAATTATTTTTAGGCACCTTTTATCAGCCGACACAAAAGAAGATAGATTGGAGTGGTGTTCGAAAATTAATAAAACATTGAATTTGATACATGCTTGGGGTGGGCCATTAGCATTTTCGTAATAATTTGTATGCAAAAAAAAAAATTATAGCGTATTAAAGTACGCTTATTTATTAATATAATGCGTATACGTGTGTGTACGCAATGTATACTTGTGTATACTAAATAATGCAATTAAATTTTAATTGAAACTAGTTTATCTATATTTGAAATCTGTATATTATAAATATGATAAATCACGAGAAAAAAATTATTTGCTAGAAATTAACACGGATTGCTTTGAATAGCATAAAGTAAAAAGTTATATTTTGTTGTAGATATAACGATTTTAATCATGTAACTATTAAAAAGTAATCAACCTTTCAATTTCAGATAAATTAAAGTGTTTCTGATAAAGATTAATGTCTAAAAAAGAAGCATTTTTCTTTAAACTGAAATAATTTACAAATTGACAATTATTTATAACAAGATGATTTTGTACAATTTAATTTCAAAATGAATTAATTAGAAAATAATATAGAAAATTGTTAGTTACAAAAATCTTGAAACATTATGAATTACTTGTAATTTAAAAAGCTTATGCATTTACTATAATGCATTCTAATAATTTAATATGATTATAATATTAAAAAGTTGAGTACAGTTAGAACTGTTGTTACACATTATTTTTGAATTTCGCAATGATTCTAATTATGTGCCTTTTAATAATATTAGGTGACATAATATATTATATTGTAAATAGTAAACAACAGTACATTAGAATAGTCACTAACAAATATATAGCCAAATAGATATATATTATATATATATATATATATGTGTGTGTATACACAAGTGCTTTTTTCTGTAAAAGATAATATCCTATGAAAATTATAAAAATTTTGTAATTGAAAGTATTTTTGTATTTTTTACTTTTATATATTAAAATTTTATTTTATGCTAGTGGTAGCAAATATTCAAAATAAAAGGACAGTGAATAGATTTTCTTACATTTATCCCTATCTATTTATTGTTCATTTATATATAGAAAGAGAAAGAAAATTGTGAGTGAATAAAAACGTTGATAAAACGATAAATAAAAATTCACAATTTTTATTAAAACATACATGTTTAAATTGTGTATATATTTATTTGCACAATTGGTGTATTATTACATACATACAATAAGGGTATAAAAATAATTACTCATTTTCACGCGAATTTTAAAATGTGTAAATGAGTGGTTTGTCGTCGCCTCTCTAAAAATGAATCGTGAGTGGAACCTCTAACGTCTCTCGTTCAAAATGTTTAGCAGTAGCTTCTCGGAACTATGCAAAATAACTTGTTTATGCATTGGCACGTATTTCATAACTGCAATTACAATGTATATTGTTGTCATAATTTTTATTTCAAAAAAAGATCGTTTTAATAAGTAGCTTCAAGCTTACTTGTTTATTATTGTATTAAGACTTTTGATATAATACTATAGAAAATACAGTATATCTGTGTGTAGTGAATGTTAACCATCAATGATGTCTCTATCTCAAACTGTGAATTTAGTGTTAATAAAGATAGAGAAAAGATAATAGGTATATTTCATTAATAATCATAATAACAATGGATACATAAAGATGAACAAATTAAGGCGATTATTTCAAATCAATAATCAACAATTTTGTAAACGATCGAGTTTACAATATAGTGAATCACGTGTCATGCGAATTAAAATGTGCGTTTACGATGTTTTCATACACTTATACTAGCGTGTGTCGATAGTCAGGAAGTCCTAGATACGATTAGCGCGGAACTTCAGTTCTTAGTCGTTCTTATTTCGAAACGAGATTGATGGTAGGGCGGAATCCATTTTCGTCGGCGGTGTAATCAACCCTTTAAGCAAGTAGTTATGCTTTTTGTATATGTGTAATTAATTATTTCGAAAGAAAGATATATTATTAGAGTATAAATATAATATCAATTAATGTTTCTTTTTTACAACATACTTTATAACTGTATTACCTGAAGGTATGACCATCTGGTGCAGTAAATGTGAAGCTACCGGTAACATCGAGGGATTCATTGTCAGTTCCCTCATTTTTCAATTCTGCAGTTTCTTCCCTCTTTTGACCGTCGCTTTGTTCATAACTGAAGTGATATCCACCTACCCCGATATTGTTTTGCTCCTCCTGCTTTACTATCGTGATGTCATTTGGATTAACCTGGGGTGCCGCGAGAGCTCCCACTATCACTGTCACGAAGATGAGAATCTGTATACAGAAAGATTATTTAAGGTTTCCGCGTCGTTTAAATTGTCAATTATTTCCATCCTAGGAGAATATTTAATTTTTGTCAAATTTTTTTTACATTCATTCTAGCTTATAAGCATACTTTTTAAATTAGTAAATCAGTAAGTTAGTTCTATTTCTTTTTAATTCAAAATAATTAATTATAATAATTTATGAAGATCACCCGGTTACGTTTACGTTTTCAAAAACAAATATAATATATATCGAATATTATTTCCATAAATTTATAAAAATCGTGTTTATAATATAAATTTACTCGGACCTTTTCAATGATTCTTCTACCACCCTATCTAAGCTACAACAAATCCTTCAAAGTTTAATGTGTGAAGATGTACCTACTGTTTACAACTATCGTGACGCGAAAATTACATTGTATTAATGCACACATATGAAGGATATAAATACAAATAATACAAGGTAACATATCACAATGTAAAAGTTCATTAGTTCCCAAGATAGAACTTAAACGATTCAACTTGGACCCCATTTTCCAAACGAGATAAGTTATCGTCACGTGGTGAAATTATGATTAATCATCGGTGCGTGAAACATCGCACACGCACAAATGTCACAGTCCTCTTCACTTTCACTATTACGTAAAAAAATTTTGGAGTTTGTGGCCGAAATCATTGGCTGCTCCCTGTATGTACGACAAAATGTGGAAGGATTCACGCGTCGCCTAATGTTACGACTTCTTCTTTCTAGATCTGCCTATGGAACCCACCGTCTTCATAGCAAGAACTTCTTCGTGCGAAGTGGACTTCTGTCCTTTCGTCCTTAAACGACGACCGATACGTGATACCAAGGATCTACGGTGCATCTGCCTTTATATAGTCGGAAAATCACGGGTGTTGCATCCCCACCTGGTATTAGACTTGCAGGAGATTCGCGGATCGGTCTCTCCCCTAACGGTATGCTAGGATGTATCCGCGACGCAACGGTGCAAGTGTCTCTTCTCTGGAGGAGCGTTTGCATTCTTTGACCGATACTGTTTGTTCTTGACGCTATTAATACGTCTTGAGCTTCAAGAAAGTTAGAAGTTTGATAGGTGTTTCGAAGCAATTTTTTAATGCCATAATCTTCTTCCTCATATTTGTATTATTTAAACAAGTCAAAGATATGTCATTGCTCACGAAGTAGAAGTGGTTCTATTTCCGTTAATTATTCTAGATCACTTAATGATGATCTACATGGTCAGTATGTTAAGAAGGATTGTATCTACATATATGAAGAAGCATTATTTGTTTATTTACTTTGATTGATGCTTTCATATTTGATTACATGACGTCTAAGAAAGGAAAGTAGCAATAATATTATTGAATAAAGCAACGAAATTAAATTTACCTTATCACTTTCTACGAGAAATAAATTATCTACATTTAATTATTATTTAATTTTGCAGACGTTAAATCCGCTTGCTAAGCATTTGGTGATGAATGAAATTTGTTGCGTGAATATTCGGTAAGTACCTATCCTCATTCGAAATGGCATTTGTGCACCTGCTAATTGTGCCATTCAGATATTACAATGAAATGTATCTTTCAGGTGGACTTTACTAAGGAACTTCGTCAGCAATGCCAAGGACCTTTTGCTTCGCTATACAGAGAAACCATAGTTCCTGTTCACACAGAGTATGTGAGTCTAGTCACGTCAAGTTCATCTATGTTTAGATCACAATAACATTTACCTTGCAAATTGAATCTTGCTAAATACATTGTAAGTAATTGAGAAAGGAAAGTTTGTGTTCATTGACTTACTAATTGTGATATTACAATTAGTAATTTTGTGACAAGATATTAGTAAAATTAATAATTTTATAATATATTTAACATATAGTTTAAGACATAAATTAACATTTTGTATTTACATTTTGATGAATCACATTTAATTTCGAGTTTTCAATATACGTGCAACGCACGTGGAATAGTTCATAACCATAGATTAAGTAAGATGCTTTGTGACGTAATATATGAAATGTATTTATTCAGAGATAATCCTACGCGCTCGAATACATGAATGAAGCATTATATTTGTATACGATGTTCCTTTTACGTCGGATTTAAAGATCATCTTTTACTTTGTTGACACAGAAAGTGACACAGGAACATCAAGCATTAATTATAAAAACATTCTTCATAGTCAAATTATCTTAATGATTAATTTAATTTTAGACGGCACACTTTTTATTTCTCACTACTGACTAAATTCTGTCACCATTTACTTATGCTACCAATATTTATTTTCTATCGACTATCATTTTTTATAGTTTCGATAATTTAAAGAAAAAGATTTTCCTATTTTATATGCAAAAAGCATATATATGCAAAACTCCTTTTTTAAAATTAATTATGTTATGTAAACTTTAGATAGGATTTAAATTAAGGTCTAAAATTCATTAGAACGGAAAAATCAATTTCATTCATTGAAATACAAATCCAAAAATTTTGTCGAAACCTTGCATTCATCCTGTCGATCAATGTTTCCAAAAATCGTAACAGTATTGCGATGGGTCAAGATGGATCGTTTGCAACAGTAATTATTTTTTATTCCTTTCGCCAAAGAGGAGACGTAGAACAGTCACTTACAAGATGTTGGTGATTTCGTAACCCGGATAATCCCCGGAGATTCATCGGTACAAAGGCGTAGAAACGACGGCTACCTGTCGCGAATAGCCGAATGTGAAAGCCAAATCTGCAAAACAGCCAATTCCTACCCCCGTTCATGGTTGTTCATTTGGTCGTCAAAGCCTCGAGGCACCGTACACGCGGCCGAGCGGCCTTGGTAATTGTGACATTTACTTTTCTCGGCGATATACGCGCGTCGAGAAGAGCCGAGGAAAGTTGGTGACGTAACTACCGGTGACCTTGCCATTTCAGAAGAAGACACGGAGGATGCCTCTGGCTACCGCATCTCCAGGCGTCTTCTCTCCTTCCCTTCACTTCTTTTTCCCTTTCCTTTCCTTCCGTGACTGTTCCACTATCGAAATTTATAACACTCTAGTCTCCTTTGGATGCGAAAAGTAAAAGTATACTCATTCATAGGTCATTTTTGAATAAAATGCCTCCTAGAGTTGATTTTTAAATTATGACAATGGAATAATTTTAATAATAAGGTCTTCAGATCATTTTATTTAAGAAAATAAGACAAGTTCTATTTCCTTTCTTGGAATTTTAGCAACAGCATCCTGCTACGAAAAAAACACGCAAATATTAAAAAGAATAAAGTTGAAGTAAAGAATAAAAGTATGAGAAAATATGTTAATGACATATAAAACAATTATTATATGAATAATACTATATGAATGTAAAATAGCAGAATGATCAAGAAGAAAATGTAAGATCACTTCAGCCACAGCTCTAACAGGAAAGGATCAGATGAAAAACACAATAAACTACTTAAAGGAAATCAATGCATATCACCAAACATAGATCACCAAGATGCAGTATTGTCGCTAATGACTTAGTACCGTACTTGAAGCAACGAAAAAGAAGAAAAGAAAGATATTAGTGCAGAATTTAGTGGAGCTTCAAGACGTTACGTTGTTTTAATTAATATTTACGAATATTATTTCTTGAAATAATTATGTAAAATGAAGTCTCATAGTCTATAGTAATCTCAACGTACAAAAGTCTTCAAGTACAATTCGTATTCATTAATCTAGGTATTGAAACACATGTGGAATATAAACGAGTCGATTGTACAAGGATAGAGTGAATACGAATATTTTGATGATGTTATGTACTGCTCCGTGAATTCGATGATTTCGTTTCATTCAATACTGAAGAAATATGAGTACTAAGGATGCGAGGATTATGTTTTTATACTGGATAAACGTCAAGAGTTGATGAAAATTTTGTTGTAATTGAGAAAATGTGTTCTGTAGTTCATTTCAGTTCTATTTGATTTCCAATTGGTGTCCTTCTCATCAATATTACATATCTCTTCGATAAGACGAAACGAGTTTACCAATCGGCTAGAAATTTTGCCGACTGTTGTGTTATCGTGAATGATTAATGATGCGAAAAGATTTTTTTATCGACTGCATAAAAACAGCTGATGTGTTCTTTATCTGTTGGTAATTAAAAATTCGCGTCTCTTAAGAAGCTATTAATCACGTTTTTACGTTTAATGATAGTCTGTGATATTTCAAACGGATACCATAAACGATCAAAGGGACTTGGATGGATAATGAAAAGCATTCAAGAGTGAAATCGTGGAAAGGGATACACACAAATGTCAATTGAGGCATTACATGTTCATACGTATTTCCGTATAGATGTAATGATCGGTAATTTTACATAATTGTTCCTTCGAAAACGTGCATTTGAATGGACAATGTAATTATTCACAAGATATGTTGTTAATAAAATTTTAGTTCAAACAGGCATTTTATGTGTTAAGTTTTATGTTCAAAAAATTAATATTGTTATTATAAAAATAATATGTAGTAGTGCCTATCCTTGAATTATCCCTTGGATTTACAAATTAAACAAAATTATTTAAAAAGATAATATCTTTGACAAATTATGCTAATGTTATTGATATATCTGTGTCTATTATTTTTCTTTTTTGTATTATGTTAAGTCAGGTATATTTTTATCGTTTTGCAAGAATTATTGTATTTTTCTTAATCGATTTGTAGTTAATGATAGACCATATCGAAATATATATTTCACTAGAGATCAACACCAATGCTCCAGTATATAAATCTAACTCTTTGTAGGATTTCCGTTTAATAGGATTATTAATTAACTTATTATCAGTATCGAAGATTTATGCCTGTGTCATCGATGCTGAGAAATATGGGAGAAATAAAAAATATTCATCAAGAAGGAGATAATCTTATAAATAGCATATAGAGGAAAATTAATATGCTAATGACCATATAAGATACTCAGATTACACAATAATCAAGAAATTTTTAGATTATATTTTAGATTATATAATACATAAATAACATATAAATAAACAAAACATAAATTAGGAGAAAGATAAACTAATTATATTACGAGAAGTCTCTAATCTTGTGACTCAAACGTTGAAAGGATTTTGATTCTTAAATAGTAATATTTTTCTTTTACTTGCTAAAATTTTTTCCTATGATAATCCATTCGCATGGAAATGAACAAACATGTCAAATTCATCATTGAACGTTGTGTAATTGAACGTAGTTTCAATATCTTTTGTTTAATGAAAAGTCATGTTTGTTGATGTGTAATTGTACGAGGCTTTAATAGCTGCAAAGTATTAAGTCAAGCTTCCAAATTCTACCAAATTCACTAAACCATGTTTTTGTACATATTTTATTAAAATTAAGCACTTCGATTTTTAGGAATATTACATTTATTTAATAAAAGTGGGGGAATTAGGAAATTCTTGGGTCAATAAATTAGTCCACTTTACATTTTACATCGACATAAAGAATTTTAACAAATATCCATGTTTTGAAAAACATCTACCTTTAATTATTCATAGTCGTTGTAATTTTTTAAGTCAGAATCGATGAATGCCGTAATTTCTATTATAAATGCGTATTCAAGGTTGAATAAATGTATCCTCAGTTGAGACCGCGTAACACGCGTTAATTGCACTACGTTATTGATTGTGATAACTACTTAGATGCATTCTTTGAAATAAAAAGAATTCGCTTCTTTCTGCATCCGCGTGATAAAATTCTTATCGAGTCCTTAATTGAAAACATTTGCGTACAAGGGAAAAATATATGGTAGTTACTACTATAAGTAAGTTACTACTGTAACATGTTTCTATATATAATATTTAATACGATGATTCAAGATGAT